CATTTCAGAACGTTGGTATCCTACTTCGGTTTAGAATAATAACATTATCTTCTGAATATCACCGTCGACCAGGCAGCTCAGTGTGAGGGACATCATCTCAGCTGTGGGTGTCTCTCCATCGCCCGATAGGTAGGCGGAGACTATGAGTGAGTGATTTCCCTTGGGAAAGAGCATCGCGACCCAAGCCGCAATAAATCCCCCTGTATGAACTCTGAAAGTGTAGAAAAGTTTACACCGTCTCTCATAAGCAAGACGACTCTGGGTTGCCCGTATTGGGTGCTATAAACCAACTTACGTTTCTTGTTGCGAAAGCCTTGTATCGCATTTATCCAAGGCTATGAGAGCTACGTCGATCCTTTCATTTGTGAAACTCCTGCTAAGAACTGAAGAAACGGCTTTAGCATGGTGGAGAGTCGCTTAGAAGAAGAACCTGACGTGCCTATTTGGCACCTCGGTGCCGGCGATTAATGGGCTTTCAGGACCCTAGAGGGCCTGAGCGTGCCTTGCACGTTCGAACGGAACCCTTTTTGTCGGCAAGGCCATTACCGTTGCCTGGACAGCGCTCGAAGAGCTTTTTATGTCGTCGATCGCGGCCTTCAGGCGATGTCCTGGTTCTGCGGTCTTAGCGCTAGATCTCAGTAAAGCTGAGCCGAAACCATAGCTGGCGGGGTGTCCACTTTTCTTCAGTACTGATGCTACGGACTCGTTCACTACCAGAGTGAGAAACGGTGTACTGCCTTTAGTGTTCCTCTACAGTACCTCCCAGAAGCCAGTATTTATTTCTTCGTTCCGGCCCTCCCAAAAGTTTAAAATATCTACTCAGGTGATATTTCAAACTTCGGGAAAAAAACCGGCAACTGTATGCCGTCGAGATAACAATTACTCAGCCACGGCTTCAGGAGCGGCATCTTCCCATGGTTTTATTGCTGTGCCCGTCCTCTTCAGTCTTCGTCTCTTTCCTGTTACAGGTAAGTACGAACCAGCCAGAGCCGACAGTGGCACCTCAGAAAGGGTGCAGCAAACGTACTGTGCATAACGGTCGGGTTATATGTTATGCTCGTGCAAGGCTCTAAGGCAGATGGATTCGACCTCGACCGTATTTAAGAGAGAAAAATAGATTAGAGAGGCCGTCGGACCCATCTACAGGGTTTTCCATATATAATCATGGGCAGAAGGATACCATTGGGAAGGCACGGTATAGGGTGGTTTTCGGCTTAACATCAGCCCATAAGTAAGTAAGTAAGTTTCGTCCGTCCATATTATTTTGGTTACTTATATGGTTTTAGTTTCTTTATCACACAAACAAAAATGTAAGGAGACAATTCTACAGTATATAAAATATCTGCCGAAGTGGGGCCCGAAAAAAAATAAATGTGAAGGCTACTACATTGAAATGGCGTAGAATTTTTATTTTTTTCATCGTAATAAAAGAAAAATTATTATTAACTCAAGAACATTTTAATAAAGTCCTATTTTTATTAGTACTGTTGCATTCCATGTCAATCCGTTAATTCGTCACACTTTCTGCCTGCTCTTACATCATCATCGTTTTTTTTGCTCTTTATGTCGCCATTCCGTTAGTTCGTTGTTGTGGTTGTCCGTGCGACAAGCCATTATCAAAATCCTTATTGGACAGTTACTCTTCACGCTTTTCGCTACCTTACCAAAACAGTAGCCTATTCTCATTGATTCATTATGCAAGTAAACAATAAAAGAATGGAATACATGTTGAAAGGATGAAGTTGTCTTAAACTCGGCTTCACTGTAGACCGCAGTTTAAATGTTTAACTGTTATCTGTCGTGTCGCACCAATAAAAAAAACAAATCTGACTTTTTCTCCTCTTTTTCCTCCCTGGACACCTGGACCATTTCATTTCAGTTTGTAATGTCAGTGGTAATAAAAATTGCTTATATTTATTTCGTCCAATTTTGTCCAATTTGATAAATTTTTACACATTACTCTTAGGTATGATAGGTATATGCTTTTAGTAAACAGATTTTCTTCACGGTTAAGTTTTACAACTTTTATGTAGTTTCAAAAACTTGTGATCCTTCAAGATTAGCTTTTAATTGTAATGCATTTTTTGTGTGGTAAGTATATAATTATGTAACCTTTAAAATTTATAGTCTTTTAATTTTCAATTTTTAAACTTTACTTTATTCAAGTTTCACCGTTAATTTCTAGAAAAAAAAAATCTAGAGCCACTTTTCTTTAAACCAGTATTTTTATATTTCTTCCGCCAAAAATTTTTTTTAGATTTATAATTAATAGCAATAAGTTATTAGAAAAAAATTGATATTTATTCATATATACATATATATATATATATATATATATATATATATATTTAAAAAAAATTAATTTTTTTTGTAAAAGGAAAATAACCACTTTATGTCTTTTGCACAAAAGGATAGATTTAAAAGCTGACGATTCGAAGATGTCTCGATCATCCAAATGACCAGTCATGAGCGACAAATTACTTATCTTGTTCTAAGCTGACAAGCTCCGCTTCTCTTCTCTCTTTTTTTTCTCTAGCTCTCAAAGATTTGTTGTTTTATAACACTGAAATGTCTTTTGCCTGTTAACGTGCCAATGCAATTATGCGAATTAATATTCGTGTGTTTGTACCATTTGCATAAACCATACATCCCAAATTATTCTAGTTGAATCATTTTCCCAAATAATAAATTCCTTAAATAGAAAAGAAGCCAAATGCACATTCGCAAGGCGTCATGCAGCTGCAGGCCGACGAAAACGGTTATCAGAAAAGCAGGTTAACGAATTAAAAATCAAGTCATGAAGTTAGGTACTAGTAATATGATGGTAAAAATATCTATTAATAGAATATTTGTGAAAGGCAATAGAGCAGAAAAAGAATATTTTAGTTAAGCAGTGGAAAGTATTGCCAAAAATAAATTGTAAATAATCCTACATTTAAAGAAATATAGTTGCAAATAAAATAACTTTGAAGTGTATTTCTCTTGAACAAAATATCCGCGATCCAGTGATACGGACTGCATCTTAGAAAGAGGCGAATTCGATAACAATACATTTCTTCCCATTGCACGCACAGACTTTTCCTTTTTTTTATTTTTCTCTCCTCTTACTTTAGGTATAAGAAATTCTTAGCCTACCACTTAAGTAAAAGTGAACGTTACAAGGTTCAATTGGTATACAGACCGCACTACACAGACAATATGTTACTAGATAGGACAAATAGGACGTCTCCAACAAAATCTTAGTGACACGCATCGCATTATTTGATGCGCATTATAAGAAACATCGAAGAAACGAGTGATTATAAACTAAAAACTTAACTCACAGAACAATCTGTTGTTGAATTTGTGGTCGCAGATGGGGAGGCCTTTTCTTCGTTTGGTTCTTACCTGATAAGCGGACAAGCGTTTTTTTCTTGCAGATGTTGAAAATTTCAGTCGATATATTGAGTGTTGAATTTATTTTAATTGCCAACGTTAGTAAATTAATTTGACTATATATTTGGTGTTAGAATTAACGTTTAAGAGATTTGATTGTGCGATGAATTTTGGTAATAAAAGTAAAAGCCTTTTTTTCCTAACGCGTTTTTTTTTAAACTTAATACATGTGCCTTTTGATACGTGCATTTAAACATGTATATGCATTTAAACATGTATATATGAGCGTAACTTCCAAATATGTATCCAGAAGCAATATTACATTTAATTCAAACTAATAAAGAAAACATTAATAAAATTCTGGAGAAAGCTGTCTAAAAAATATGGTAGTGAGAACTACAAATTTTTGCCAAAACTGGGGAGAAACGTAGCAGGTCGTACGCAAGCATATGCATTTTTCCTAACAAGTGCGTGTGCTTTATAAAGAAAAGCAAATGATCATTTGCTTAATAAAAAAAAAGATTGGTACAAAGTCTTGGTACTTCGTGTTGCACGCGGTTTGACAATTTTGGAAACAAGTCGCTTTATGATTTTAAACAAGTTGAAAATTCAATGCTGCCATTTGATGGTTCAAATAAATTCTAAGCAAACAGACTCACAAAGGGAAGAATTCGATTAAATTGAACGATATTTTATGAAATTTAAGTAAACAATGCAAAATAGAAGAAGAGTCTACGATTTGCAAACATAATTAGGATTAACAAGGATTCAAATGCAAATGATTTATAAAAAAAAAATATGAAAAATAAATTTATCATTTAAAAATAAATTATTGACACGGAAAGAAAAATTAGAAAGAAACGAAATGTAAAGAAATTGCTTTCTATGTGGAAAAGTAAAAGAGCATAAAAGAGAAATAAACGGAACAATACACGTAATATTTGTAAAAGATGATTACATCAATATGTATGTATGCGCATACCATACGGTTAGAGCCGATCCGCACGCAATGTATGAAGTGGAATAAAAACAAGTACAAGATTATCGAATGCATTATTCCAAATGGAACATAGTTGTATCCTACACGACCTGCGATAGGGGTACATTAAGCGTGTGCGGATGTTGGAGTTGAGATTCATTTTACTTTATACCAATCAATTTGAAATTTATTTTTGAATCGATTTAAATGCACCTCTCCGTCTGATGACCGCCCGACCATTTATGTCTTCAACTTATAGAGAGCAATAGCCAATGCATTTTGCTTAAGTTTAATAAACCGACGTGTCCAGGGCCAAATTCTGTTAAAAATCGATTTGATTGTGCCCTTTTTAAAACAACTCCCATGCAAATATTTGTGTTGAAAAAGTTGGAATAATGGAAATATTTTTAATTTTCTGTTCAATAATGTTTCGGCAAAATAAACCTGCCTGGAAACTACAGCAATGAATAGCTAATGACGAGTTACTGGCTGCTCTTTTCTTAGCCGGTTCTGCATCCTAACCGAATATTTCTTCGAATTCCAAAAACAATTTAGCAGTAATAGTACCTTGTGATTGAGGATCAGGAAAATATTGCGAACCTATCGTTTCAAATTTTTAATCAAATGCCAATGCGAACAATTTACTTTACAGATGATCCATTTTAGGGTCACTCAACAGACTCGGATGGTATATCAAGCGTAATTTACGAACTAGTTTCTCACAGACTACTACTACTCCTACGTCGCTGGCATGATTTTCCAATGAATTCTAGTCCTTAAAAATCCACGTGGCTTACATAGTAATTGTAAGGTAAACAAACATTTTTGAAGCTATCATTCGCCAGTAAGGAATGATAAGAATCCACCGTTGCATTCTCGCGAGAGACGGGAATCAGAGCAACATAATGAAGCATAGATTTACTTTTGCTAGTTAATAAACATACGGTGACTTTATCGAAGTCGCGACAACGTTCCCATAATGCCCGAAAGAGTCTTTTTGATCCCAAAATATGGCGGTCATGCGGATATATAAAATTGCATGGTTTGCAGCAAACAATTTTTGTGAATTCACTTTTTGATTGAAAACCCAAAAGCATTATGCCAGGAACGTGCAAGTTACGTACTCGATTAACTTGTTCGTAACTTATGATCGCCTAAACATAACTCATAACAAGCATTGATTACATTAACTGTCGGCGGATCTCACAGCTCATTAGTTTTCAAATCGATCTTACGTACAGCCTTAAGACCTTATTATTAAGGCTTCTTGGACAATATAAGTAGCCTTTAAGTTATCCCCATCATGTTTGAAATTAGATATTGAGATTTGGTAGTCCGAATTCCGAGAAGACATTTCAAGATATTTGTTTTTAATATTTAAAAAATAACAATTGGAAGTTTTTTTCCCAAATAATTCAATATTTTCTTCGTAAAACGTTAAGATCTTGTAAAAACAGTTGAAAAAAACAAAAAAGGGATGTTGAAGCTGAATTGTTCATGTTTTACGTTATTACTGGTGTTTTTTTTATAGACGAATAACGACAAAACCAGAGGAATTTGATATGCAGACCTCGCGTTGATTTATTATTGATTTATTGATGATTCAATGGTGTTTGATTTCTCTTGTAGCAGTTTTTTAAGTTATAATAATCCACTCAGTACTGTCCATTTTGGGGTTTAGTCCAGAAGATTAATGTCCTTGATATCCCCCTTTGGGTGTACAGGGATGGATTATTGATTTATAGATTGATAAAATTGATTGATTGTGCCAAGTTGGGTACTGCTTGAAAATAAATTACAATATTTTATTGAAGGTTAGTTGATCCAGGTTTGCTCAGATAGAAATCGAACAATAATATGAAGAAAACGAGAACCACCAGGCCAGAGTAAGAGTGAATTTTACAATTTTACCTTGCGCACAAAATTTTCTCTTCAATGCTTACTATAATTATAAACATAATTAAGAATTTTGTAGTGTTTTGTTATTCTTGTACACATTTAAATAGTTATTAGAAGGAAACTTTTAACTTAATTCATTTCTTCGATTTAAGCCTTATTACTAGTTCGTTTTTTCGTAGGCGTTCACTGATTATTAATTTGAGCTAAGTTTTTTCTTAATTGTGGTTTGTCAACACTTTCACTTTCTTCATGTATCACTTCATAATAATCGAGAGTTTTTATTACATTTTATAATATTTTTGCATTGAAACTGCAATTTAAGTAAACACAAAAAACTTACCGGGAAAAGCGAGAAGAAAACTTTCATAGAAGAGGCGCATAAAAAAAAAGTAAAGGAAGCTATTAGAATACAGTTCTGAATCCTGGCTCGTATAGCACTTCCTTTCTTAGGAAATTGCGTACGCATTAAACATCACTCACATAGCAGTTTGAAATCATTGAATAGGGCAGTCTAGAAAAAGAAGCGGAAAAACCGCTTCTAATAATGCATTGTTTTTATTACAACACGAATCTAAATGTAGATGTAAATTCGGGGTCATCCGTACTAAATCTTGGGCCGATGGAGGCCATAGAGTGCCCCAAGGCTTAAGATCAGATGGTCCAAAATTTATAAATTTACAAAAATAATAAAAAAATTTACAAATTTTCAAAAATTAATAAATTGATAAATAAAATAAGCATATTAGGTAGAGGTACATATAATAACCTACAAGTTTTTTTTTAATAATAAAAAATTTCTTTATATAAGAATTATCATTGAGATTTGTCAAAGCATTTAGGGATCATAGAATTTAGAGTTATTCGATTCTTCAAAATAAACGATAAAATGAAAGCAAATTATACTAGCTACATATATACCTGCTATTTGTTTTTCTTCGTACGTACACACTTATATGCATGCTATAGCCCATATTCACTTAAAACCACATAATTGTATAAGTGTCTGCTTTGCAAACGTTTGAGAGATTGCGACATTACATCAAGAAACTATTAACAGAATCCGCGCCCATAGAAATGGTAAGAATGAAAGAGAAAACTTGCAAATGACTGCTAATTAACAGCATTATTACTTTTATTGATAACAAATACAAAAAAGTCCCTTAGATTTTCCTAGTGTCAATCTAGGACAAAATGTTGGAGCATCTATGTGTTTATATTATTGAAAAAGCTACTGGCCGTATACGGTATCATCTTTTTTTGGCATATTTATGAGAAAAAAGTTCACCGTCATTGCAAGACACAGCCTTCTAAACCCGCTTTGCATGTATAAAAAGCTTTTATCGCGGTTAACGCGAAAACCATTCGGTTATGATTTTGAGGAAAGAAAGGCAAGAACAATACTAATGCAGATGCTTCATCTCGCCGTGAGCTATATTCGGGCGTTTTGAAAAAAATGAAACAATTAATACAAGTGCAAAAAAATGGTGCAGTTCACCAGAAGAATACTGACCATCTTCGCCTGTGGGGATGAGTGTATTGGGTTGGTGCATAATTATCAGGCGTTTGACGTGCTATATTTTAATAAAAATTTAACATTTTATAAATTTATGAATGAAAATATCCTTCTAGTTTTAGGCTGTAAATATGCGTATCTGTAATCATACTCATATTCGCTATATTGTACTGTATTACTTTGAGAAAGGATGGAAAGAAGTGCAATCATTTCGCGATCTCAACGAATTTTTTGACGAGCGAACATAACTGTATAATAATTATAATAGAGTTTATGAAAACTCCAAGAGAATCGATGACAATGTAATCAGATACAAACTCATAAAACGACGCCATAATCCACTACGATCACGCCATCCCGGTATACGAAAAACTAAAACGCAATCAACGAGTTTTGCCAAAGAAACAGAATTATGAAAAACACTTTCAAAGAGCGAACACATCTTCAAAACATTTTGAAATTGTTTCGATTTACACTCTAGAACAACTTAAACTGTCAGATCGGTGTAGATGCATACATGTGGCCTTTCAAAACGAATACCATACCCTTTAGAAACTAAAAAAGGTAAATCAATAGCAAAACCACTAGTAGAATGACTTCTACTAGATCAAGGTCTTTTCAGAATATTGAAATAAGACAACGGAAGTGAATTCAACAACATACTCACGAAAGAAATTTGCAAACTGTTCATTCGGGGTGAAGATTCTCAACTCGTTACCATCGTAAAAGATTAGAAAGTGTAGAACGCAGTCACATACTGCTTAATGAACATTTCCTGTCGTTTGTAGAAAAAAACGAATGGAAAAATATAGGCCGGTACATACGCAAAAATTTTCTTTTCCAAACAAATTATTTGTTTTCAAGTGCAAACACAGCGAGAACACATTGGTAAGATAGGTTATGTCTGTGGAGACGATGTCATCATCTTTGAGAAGAGTGAAGAAACACTTTACATAAACGAAATAACGAATATATTTTGTACAATCGAATCAGCTGATGTGAAGGTACAGTTCTATAAATGTGAGTTGCAAAAAGCAAAAGTAAAATTTTTAGAGATCCTAACATTTACAGAAGGAATACGCGCACATACTCAAAAAAGAGGAAATGATAAACTGCCAAAACGCTAAAGGACCTAAGATAAATTTCAGGCACGTCATCTTTTACCGCCGTTTTAACAGGGGCTATATTAAATTACCAAAGCTCTTAACGACTCCTTCAAAAGGAGAAGGACAACGCATATTTCAATAAACCAACGGAAATACCAGCAATAGGCTTAGACGACGAAAAGCAACGTGAGAAAAAGACAACCACGTACTGCGCTATAAATCTGGAATGAGTAATGCGGCGGCGCTGTCCAGACCTCCATAGGAAATAATAGAAATACTGACGCAACACAACACAGCAATCAAAGTTCACCACGAGACCTAATTCAGTTCTTATGAGTTCCAAACAGATTTTCCAACGGACCATAGGCACGTTATATTACAATCAAATCCTAACGCACACAGATTGGCGAAAATTCTCAAGAAATATCCTTTAGTCATAAACAGTGTGAAAACGATTGACGAAATACTAGGATACAAAAGATGTACTCTGCAAGCTTCCATGAGTACAAGATCATCTACACCGGAAGAATGAAGAGTCGAGGCAGGCAGTGGAGGGGATCCTAAGGCTGATGTTCCACTGTTATTAGAAAAATTATTTAGATTCGAAACTAGTGCCGAAGAAATTCAATAGAATTTCCAATATACCTTCTGAACCAACGATTGAAAGCAGCCATCCATTTAAAAGAAAAAGGGGTAACGAAAATTGTATTATCGTTTCTTATACAAAACTCTTTTATTTTTGTATATGCTCGCTTATCATATTTCTGATTCGTCGATTTGTCCAACACATTTTGCTATTACAAGTTTGTCGTAGTTTGACAAATTTTAAGTTGCTAATATTACAATTGTTATTAATAAGCGATATTTTCGTTCTTGTTAGAAGATGGCTACTACTGTTGTCACGATATTGCGTTTAATTACCTTAATAAAAATTTTAATGAGAAATAAAATCTTCATGTTAAAGTTTTTCATAATTATCAAAGGTTAGGTGATTACGAAAAGATTGTTGCTCGTGGAAAGTAAATTTAACTATTAAGAATTTTGAAAAAAAACCAGTTTTTTACCCTTAACAAACATTGTTTTCGTGAATTCTTCTTTTAATTAGTTTATACATTAGAATCTATTATATATAACTGCCAGGTTATGAATGTACATATATAAACATATCTGCTATATAAATAAACGGATACGTGTGGCTATGAAACTGCTGCCAAAATAATCTTTTGCTTCCTGTATATAATATATCAATCGGATTTTAAACACGTTTTTCTTTTTCTCATTTTTCATTAAATAAATTTTTTAAATAAAAAAAAATCTTTGCAAAGTGTAACAATTTACAATTTAAAAGAGAGTTTCCAACTCAAAACGTTTAAGAAATTCCTTGCCTGTATTTAACTGGGTCAGAGAAGTTGTAACTTCCACGAACAAATTTAAGGTAGGGTATCAATTTATATGCTTTTGTTAGAAATGTCGTAATAACGGCATACCATTATTCAATATCGCGTGATCGCAAAAATAGCGCCTTGCCACTATGCACGGATAGAGAAGCGATCAGCGAAGAGAGAGAAAAAAAACCGTTTTTGATGAGAGAGAGTTCGGTGGTAGTTTTTGGAGTGTTTTGTGTTGAGAGGTCAGA